CATCATCATCATCATCATCATCATCATCCTCATCCCACTCTTTGCACATTCCCTACACCAAAGTCAAAGATTTCTCACTGCATCCTCCTCCTCCTTCTTTTCCTCCTCCTCTTTCCATATTCCTTACACTGAGGTCAAAGACTTCTCACTTCATCATCACCATCACCATCATCATCTTCTTCATCCTCTTCTTTGCATGTTCCCTACTCCAAGGAATCCTGACTGCATCATCATCCTCATCCTCGCATATCCCATACACTGATGTCAAAGACTTTTTCACTACATCATTGTCCTCCTCATCCTCCTTCTCCTCCTCCAAGATTTCTCACTTCATCATCACCAATCATCATCATCATCAATGTTTAATGTTTAATCCTCTTCCAAGAGAGAACCCAGCCCTGGGCAGGTTCCCCTTTCCCGGGGGAGCAGGGGATGGAAACCCCACAAAGGAGATCCCTGGAGGGGCTGGCATTGCTGGGAGGTCACCTTGGTGTGGCACCCCAGCATCCAACAGCCCATCCCACATTCCTGCAGTTCTCCCAGCTTTTTGCAGGTTTGGCCTCATTCCTATTCTTCCAAGCAGGTTTGGGGTTTTTTTTAGGGGGGGAAACCCACTTTATTTGAGATGGGAATCGTTTTTCCTAGAGAAAAGCAGCCTTGGCAGGCCTGGAGCTTCTCTCCAGGTCACCAACTCCCTCCCTCAGCCTTTCCATCCAATGTTTCCTCCAGCAGAAAACCCCCGGAGAGGCTTTTCCATGAAGGAAACCTCACAGATTCCATATTTTCCAGCAAAAATGCCTTTTCTGAACCAGAGGGAGCTTTCCCCTGAAGGTGAGAATTCCCAGAGCCCTCCATGAAGGATTCCCAGAACGGAATGGCCACAAACTGGCCCCATGTCCAAGGAAACTGAGGGTGGCACAGAATTCCCAGAGCACCCCTGCAATGTGAGGGCCAGGCTGGATGGGGCTGGAGCAGCCTGGGATGGTGGGAGGTGTCCCTGTGGAACCCAAACCATTCCATAATTCCATTATTTCAGGATCCTTCTCACACCCTGTCCCCACCCAGAGTCCTATTTCTTATCTCTAAACCCATTTATAATCATTTCTTATCTCTAAAACCACAGGTCTCCAAAATCCAGCAGAATCTCTGGGAACAGCTCCAAGATCCTGGTGCTCCCTCCATCATTTCCATGCTCCAGGAGCAGGTCTGAAATCAGTCCCAGAATGAAGAGATCCTGGGAAAGCAAAATCTGCATTTTCTGGGACGCTGACTTGCTCCAAAAGTGACATTTTGGATGGGAAATGATTCCTCAAAGAGCAGAACAAAGCTGCTCTCAGGTCTAGACTCAGTCTGATACCTCGGGGGTGGATTTCTTTGACATTCCTGGTTCTTTTCTGGAAGGGACAAAAATCCCACCTCAAACGAGCCAATATTGGCAAAAACCCAACTCAGATCTACATTTCCACCTTTGATCACTTCCCATATTTAGATCAGGAGCTCCAGGGCTCAAAATCCTCGGGGAAATGTGATGAAAACAGCACATCTGACAGCTGAAAATTATTCTGCTCACCCAATTCCAGTTCCTGTTTTCCCTGGAAACAAGGGCAGGATAAAAAGGGAGCACCTGAGGTTTGTGTGGTTTAAAGTGTGGAAATCATGGAAAAATCTGGGCTTTGCTCCTAAAAATCACCTCAGCCAAAGGTGAGAATTTAAGGGTGAAAAGGGTGAAAAACTCTTTTTTCAAAAAATACTGATTTGGAGCCATTTTTAGCAGCTAAAATGCAGCAAGATGCTCTGAAATCAAACCAAACACCCAAAAAACTGCATGAACACGGCTCATTTTGGAAACCAAACCTCGCTTGGTGAGGTGCAGGAGGTTTTAGCTGCCCTTCCCTTCCCTCTCCAGGTGGGATTTTCCAGGTGGGATGTCCCAGGAGTTTCCCAGCTCACCATGTTGGGCTGCCAGCCCTCGACGTTGACGCAGCGGTCGATGCACCACCAGAAATCGTCCTCGGATTCGCCCTTCCAGGCAAACACTGGGAACCCTGGCCAGGGAGGGACAGGGGGTTAAGGCAGGAAAATCCCGTGGGAATCAGCTCCTGGACACTGATTCATTAATTCAGGTGTTAATTTAATAGATTCAGTTATTACTCAGCTCCAGCCAGCAAGACCCACGGTGGGTTTGGGTTCTTCTGGGTGTCCCAGAGCTCGGGGTCAAACCTGTGGATTCAGCCAGGTGAATTCCCTGACTTTATCCCGGTAAAATCCTTGGGCTTACTCAGGTAAAACCCCTGGAATTATCCAGGTGAAAGCCCTGGAATTATCAAGGTAAAATCCTTGGAATTATCAAGGTAAAATCCCTGGAATTATCAAGGTAAAACCCCTGGAATTATCCAGGTGAAACCCCTGGATTTATCCAGGTAAAATCCTTGAGCTTTCCCAGGTAAAACCTCTGGAATTATCTAGGTAAAATCCCTGGATTTATCCAGGTAAAATCCTTGGCCTCACTCAGGTAAAATCCCGGGTCTTATCCAGGTAAAATCTTTGCTCTCATCCAGGTAAAATCCCTGGCCTTATCCAGGTAAAATCCCTGGATTTATCTGGGTAAAATCCTTGGCATTACCCAGGTAAAATCCCTGGATTTATCTGGGTAAAACCCCTGGTCTTATCCAGGTGAAACTCTAGGTCTTTTCCATGTAAAATCCCTGGGTTTGCCCAGGTAAAATCCCTGTCATTACCCAGGTAAAATCCCTGGATTTATCTGGGTAAAACCCTTGGCATGACCCAGGTAAAACCCTTGGCATTACCCAGGTAAATCTCCCGACTTTGCCAACTTAAATCCCTGACTGTATCCAGGTAAATCCTTGGCCTTTCCCAGGTAAAATCCTTGGCATTGCCCAGGTAAAACCCTTGGATTTATCCAAATAAAATCCTTGGCATTACCCAGGTAAAACTGCATGTCTTATCTAGGTGAAACTCTTGGTTTTTTCCATGTAAAATCCCTGGACCTGCCCAGATAAAATTCCTGGATTTATCCAGGTAAAACTCTTGTATTTACCTGAGTAAAATCTCTGGTCTTATCCAGGTAAAATCCCTGGTTTTATCCAGGTAAAATCCCTGGATTTATCCAGATAAAACCCTTGGTATGACCCAGGTAAAGCCCTTGGACTTACCCAGGTAAATCTCCTGACTTTGCCAAATTCAATCCTTGACTGTATCCACGTAAAATCCTTGCCATTACACAGGTAAAATCCCTAGGTTTATCCAGGTGAAACTCTTGGTCTTTTCCATGTAAAATCCCTGGGTTTGCCCAGGTAAAATCCCTGTCATTACCCAGGTAAAATTCCTGGATTTATCCAGGTAAAACCTTTGGATTTACCTGAGTAAAATCCCTGGCCTTATCCAGGTAAAATCCCTGGCCTTATCCAGGTAAAATGCCTGGATTTATCCAGATAAAACCCTTGGTATGACCCAGGTAAATCTCCTGATTTTGCCAAGTTAAATCCCTGACTGTATCCATGTAAAATGCCTGGGTTTGTCCAGGTAAAATCCCTGTCATTACCCAGGTAAAATTCCTGGATTTATCCAGGTAAAACCTTTGGATTTACATGAGTAAAATCCCTGGTCTTACCCAGGTAAAACCCTTGGTCTTCTCCCACATAAAACCCCTGGCCTTATCCATGTAAAATCCTTGGCCTTACCCAGGTAAAGTCCCTGGATTTGTCCAGGTAAACCCTTGATCTTTTTCCATGTAAAATCCCTGGCTGTATCCAGGTTAAAACCTGTGGTAAAATCCTGGTTTTTAGGGAAAACCCCTGGATTTAGCCAGGTAAACCCCTGGATACACCCAGGATTTCCCAGGTAACCCCCACACGCTCAGTTTCTGCTCTGTAAATCACATCCCCCCCAAATTCTCTCTTTCACACGAGTTATGCCCCAAATTATAGAATTTAAACTCAATTTAGTTTCATTGCTCTGAGCAAAACAACTTCCAGCTTCAGCTCATAAATGACATTTTTACCAAGGATTTTACCTGGGCAAGACCAAAGATTTTACCTGGGTAAGGCAAGGGGTTTTTCCTGGATAACTCTAGAAAAAACCCAAAACATTCCAGGAGTTCCAGAGCTTTAGAAAGGGGGGATTTTGTGCTGTAGGTTTATTGTAAATTGAAGAGAATGCAAGGAAAAAACCTCAAAGGGGTGATAAATGAGCTAAAAATGATGGGGCAGCAAAAATTCCCTAGAAAATGCAGGAGGAATTCCCTACAAAATACAGGAGGAACTGCCTATAAAATGCAGCAGGAATTCCTTATTGAATGTGGGAGGAATTCCCTATGAAATCCAGGAGGAATTCCCTATGAAATCCAGGAGGAATTCCCTATAAAACCCAGTAGAAATTCCTTATAAATCCCAGTAGAAATTCCGTATAAATCCCATAGAAATTCCCTATAAATCAAGAAGAAATTCCCTATAAATCCCAGTAGAAATTCCCTACAAAACCCAGGAGGAATTCCCTATAAATGCAGGGGAAATTCCCTATAAAATCCATGAGGAATCCCCTATAAAACCCAGTAGAAATTCCCCATAAATCTAGAAGAAATTCCCTATAAAGTCCAGGAGTAAAACCTGTAAAACCCTGTAAAACCCAGGAGGAATTCCCCATAAATCCCAGGAGGAATTCCCTGCAAATCCAGTAGAAATTCCCTATAAATCCTGGCAGGAATTCCCTGTAAATCCCAGCAGGAATTCCCTGTAAATCCCAGCAGGAATTCCCCATAAAAGCAGGAGGAATTCCCTGTAAATCCCAGCAGGAATTCCCTATAAATCCCAGCAGGAATTCC